AGGATCCAAGTGAGGGCCATCCACCGGTGTATCTCTCCCACCTGAAATGTTTTCCATATAAAGTGAACCAACGCTCAGTAGAAAAAAAACTCCTACAGAGGCTACCTCCCACCTAAAATGCGTATGCAATGCGCACATGCCACAAACAACTTCTTCCATTCCAAATAAGAATATTTTATTCAAGATAGAATCTTATGATGTCATGCCAAGTAATGAGACGAAACTCACTCATGCATGCATGTTATCTTGAGCCCACACCGACTCCCACAACACAATGTGACGCATATATGTAAAACAAATGTCTGTGAAGAAGCACATCCAAATATCATTTTGAAATCAACCATATGTCATAAAACCAATTCATTCTTGGATGTTTCCCATCAAATGAATAATTTTTATATTAAATTCATGTGCCTTTATTGGGTATCGGATTCAAGAATCGCACCTCCGGCTCCGTNTTATCCTGAGCCCACACCGACTCCCACAACACAATGCGACGCATATGTGTAAAACAAATGTCTGTGAAGAAGCACATCCAAATATCATTTTGAAATCAACCATATGTCATAAAACCAATTCATTCTTGGATGTTTCCCATCAAATGAATAATTTTTATATTAAATTCATGTGCCTTTATTGGGTATCGGATTCAGGAATCGCACCTCCGGCTCCGTACGCCGTTACACTTTTCTGGAATTTCACCGCTAGTAAATGTATGAACCAAGTGGCCGGGTTTTTCACCCGATGGAGTATCTAGCCCTACTTGTTGTACTCGACACATGTTTTTCTTGTGACTCTGTTGAACCTTGGTCCAACGGTACCGAGCCTAAGTTTTTCATGCAACCATGCAACCGTGCGACTCAATAGGATGTTTCATCCTACTTTTCCGAGCCCACCACCAACCACCAAGGATGATGATTGACCAACCATGCAACCACACACCCATGCTCATGGTTATGGATGTATTTATCCCGTGCATATGCAATATAATGCATCATTATAAACTACTGCCATGTTCAATATGTAATGAATGTCATATGAACAATTTCAACATATCTCATGATCAATTATATCCAGACATATAAATTCCATGATCATCAAAATGAAAACATAGCGTTAAGCATACATCAACATAACATTACAATTGTAAATCACATCATAAGCTTGTAATTTCACTTTACCATATTTTCCAAGCATGCTGTTTTATCAAACACAACAACACCTTCAAGGCACCAATCATGTAATCACATAATTCAAGTATTTTAAAACCTTGCAACTATCNCTTCAAGGCACCAATTATGTAATCACATAATTCAAATATTTTAGAACCTTGCAACTATCTTGGATGTGTGGTGAAGGTATGGCCACATTACATGAGGATTTGGAGGCTTAGAAGTTAAGAAATCAAAGGGGTATTGGTGTTTGATAACAAAGGCACCACACTAGCTCACGCTGGTGGAAGTACCTCTGTTTTTCTCCATTTTGACCATGATCCACTTAGAATCTAGACAAGTTTAAAACACGCAAGTTGTAGATCTAGATGTCTTCTATATTTTGTCCAAATTTCAGCTCAATCCAACGGTTGGATCAATGGTTATGACAATTCTACGACAACTGGTCCAAAATAGAAAAGTGTACCGACTTTTCTTATTATCACAAATATTGCCCACATCTTTATAAATCACATTTGAGCACATAACATACCCAAACACATTAAATCCCAAGGAATCACACAAGTAACTTCCTTTGCCAATTTTTACTAGGAATTTATATAGGCCCAATTCCACACCTATTTCCTTAGCCATATACATAAATGAGTCAATATATATATAAGCACATATATTCAACCATCCCACGTAGACATTCTAGGCTAAGAATAGACCCAAGTAGGAGAACCCCCTACCTTAATAGAAGTGTTCCACCAAAACAATCCCCAAAGCTTTGATCCTCCAAGACTTTGTCTTTGAATCTTTTGTGAAAGTATTCGTTTTTGGTACCCTCGTCGCATAGATCGACTTTAGTTCTTGGTCTGACGGATTCCGACCAACGGATCTTGAGAAATCGTCGGGAGAAAACTTGAAAAATACATTTTCTCTCTTTCTCTCTTCTCACGCTTGAACCAGGCGGCCTCTTGGGGAAGAAAATCCGATTTTTTTCAAATATTATGACCCTTTTATACTTTTAAAGACTTAGCCCTCGTCGCGCCAAGTATCCTCCTTTGTTCAGGTCTGTTTTTCATTCCGAAACGATTAAATTTCGTATCGGTTTAAGCTTAAAATATTTTATATGAACTTTATTTAAAATATTTTCTAAATTTTAAAATTTTGTTAAAAATTTCGTTTTTGGGACTCACCAGACACCCATCACCTCGAAAAACGTAAAAAATTCAACTATTTCAAAATTTAACAAAATTTATCTGAGTAACTAGATTTTGCGAGACGAATCCAACGATGAGGTCCGTTTCATCATCCGATGTCTAGAAAAATATCAGTTTTCAACCCGCACTATAATGGTAAATTACTATTTTGCCCTTTTTTTTTTTATAAAAAGTTCAAATTTTTCTCAAGTTTCACACAAACTCTTCCAAAACCAACCCAAACTTATACAACATACATTTTTACATCAAACATAGTTGGTATAAGTTCTATTGCAAATGACTTCATATATTTAAAAGTCAAAACTAAGTTTGAACTAAATATTTACCCGATTCTACACTATTAACATTTTTATCTCTACTCTTACAATCTACTTTGTTCATGCATTACACCCCATTATGTATATTAACATTTTAAAAACATAATTACGTTGCTATATTTGATAATATGAATGTGGGAGTTTAAAATTTTTCTTCTTTGGTGATCACCTCTACTTTATCCACATACTAATGCACACAAGATTTTATATTATAATGTTTGTGACCATCAAAATTATGCTTGACTAAGTATCGGATCAACATGGGGGTTTAGACCCCATTTTAAGGAAGGCCCCATAATTTATAGGTGTGTAGTAATAGACCAAATAAAATATCATAATCCATAAGAAATAAGCACCACAAAAAAATTAAATTTAATCTGAAACAAAAGATTTTAACTTTAGTAGATTAGGCCTATTAATTTAGTCCATAAAATTAAAAGGTCCCAATGTTTAATTTTTTTGAAAAAATAAAAATTAGCAGTAAAACTAAAGCTACTGAACAATCAAGTCTTAACCCCCTAAAAAAAGTCAAGTTCAAACTTACCATCATAATTTTCAATCATTCTCTCCACCCTCCCCCCACCTTTATATAGATATATATATATATATATATCTTGCCATCAAGATCAAATATGTTAACAAAAGCAAGAATATAAAAACTTAATTAATATTCTTGCATTCAAAGTAAAAATTAAATTTATTATTAATGTTAAAAATAAAAAAGGTCTCATTTTTTATTTCCAATTTAGGCCCCAAAATGTCTTGGGTCGCCCTTGATTCCACACAATGTTAAGTGATGACACCATAAATTACAGCTTAGCATTACTGAGCTCAGGCAAATATACCAACTCCCAGATCACCAGTAATATCCAAGCAGCTAAGCTTCAATCATGCCTACTCTAATCTAGCTAACCATAAGAAGAGGAAGTGCTTAATAAGTCTATCCTACCCTGGATAGCAAGCTACTACCTTAAGAATGTCCCCTCACTACTTCTATAAATCCATGTGTCCTATGGATATGATTGTCTCTAACAGTCAAATATTTCTCAATGATTCTAATGGATTGAGGGGACCACACAATCATAGAAGAAGACAAAAACCTACTCTTGTATAAATAGAGAAGGATGTCCTGCTGGAAAGGGATCGAACCCTCTGTAATCGTTGGCCTCTTCTTCCTCAAGCAATACATAGAAAATGACCTAGAGCCTCCATTAAAGTGGATTTTTCCAAACCTTTCAAATAGTGAATCACTCATATTCTTGTGATTTTACTATTTATTGAGCAATTACAACACTTGTCAACATACACTACACACTGATCACCAAGCTCACTCAGCTCTCTTCATTTATTTTAGTGTTATTAGATCTCACCCTATTCCTGTTTCCATAATTTACACACAAAGACCTCGTAGGTACATAATAGATTGTTTGAACAGAGTCGTTGGTCATACCTCATAGTTATTTACACCATCATTAAGCATGGATGTTTGAGAATCATTTCCTTCCATGCAACTTCGATTGTAAAGAATAAGGGTGTCAAATAACCAAGTGTAGTCAAACAATGAGTTGCTCAAACTTGTCTCTATTATTTTGACATTCAAGATTGGCTCGTTTATGTCATAACTCTGTGAGACCCAATCACGCATTGCACATATATTAATATAATTCTCTGGGCTAAATTATAATTATGTGAAAGTATTAAAGGGTTAATTAAATTAAATCTTTCATAGCCATGATGTATGTGAACATATATTGGGTAGGTGGACCCCGTTAGTGATGTATGAGTGAGACCATTTATAGAAATTCATGTGTGAAAATATTAGTGGGTCGAGTTCAAAATCATTTAATAACTTAGGGGGAGGCAACGGTAATTAACCCATTACCTTTACAAGTGTTAACATGTTAAATATATATATATATATATATATATAGGGGTGTGTGTGTGTGTGTGTGTGTGTTTAAGATAAAAAAAACAAGAGAGTTCTGGTTTTGGGCTGAAATCGAGAGAGAGAGAGGAGAACAAGAGAGAGAAAAAGAAAAAAAAAGAAAGAAAGAGAGAANTATATAGATAGATAGAATGGACAAAAATTACAAGAAGCAAAGTAGTCTGGCAAAAACAAAAATGAGCTGCCAGGCAAACAAAAACACAGGCATAGTCTTAGCTGAGGGTCCAGCTGAACCAATACAAGGCAGTTGGAGAGTCTGCTGGGCATCAGTAGGAAAATGGGCCTTTTGCAGCTACAAAGAAGTAGGAAACCAAGAGGCAGCTGCGGCAGAGAATAACCAGAAAACCAGCTAAGGGAGCAGCTAGGAAACAGACCAGCTGCAGAAAAGCAGAGCCCCAGCTGAAGGAGAGCAGTAGTACTGTTGACTGGAACCAATGGTAAGGTTCCAAAAGGTTGCTGAAACCCATCTATAGGAGCAATGCCCTGAAGATAATGCATTAGAACCCACCAAGCCAAAGCTGGGCTGATCTAGCAAAACCCCTTCACAGAGGTCCCAGCACAATCAAGGAGACCAGCAAGAGACGAGGGAAGCAGAGCAGAGCAGGAACCAAACCAGAAGCAAGAACAACCATAAAGGCCAATCAACATCTCAAAACCAAGGAGCCCAGATCAGGTGAAAGGGCAGTGAACAGAGACAGACCAGGCAAACTGCATGAGGGGAGCAAATAAATCTGACGACCCTCAGCAGCATAGAGCATGACTGAAAAAAGGTGCCCAACCAAAGGAACACTGAACTGGAAACCATAAACACCTCATAAGGAACCCAGGTCCATAAAGATCCCAGAGGCACAAGCTAGACCCAGGCAGCCTGAGACCCCAAACCTGCAATGAGTCATTAGGAAAAGTGTCTGTCAAAGACATCCATCTTAACCAATCCCTTGTTTTTGCCCACAAGTAGAAACCTTCTTTAGTCTGGTAGTAGGGATCATGTTTTGATCCTGTTTAAGAAAAAGTCTGCCCGCAAGAGGCAGCACCCCATTAGCAGAAAAGTCAGAGTCACTTCTAGACAGCACAGCATAGTTAGCCAGAAAATTTGCAATTTTATTAGCCTCTCTATACACATGTCTGATCTGAAAATGTAATCTCCCCAGAATACCAAAGATTTGGTCCATATATCCTAAAAGTCTCCATGGAATGGCAGCAATACCCAAAATCATGTTCACAAGCGCTTGAGAGTCAGTCTCTATTGTAAACTAATAATCATGCAGGCCATAGTGCATTATCAGTTTTAAACCATCCAGCATTGCCAGGCATTCTGCTCTCATATTGGATCCAGTCCCATAAAACGCTGCAGCAGCTAAGACAATCTGCCCCTTGGAGTTTCTCAAAATCATTCCTCCACCAAACAGTCCATTGCCCTTGGAAGCACCATCAACATTTAATTTCATCATAGACCTAGCTGGTGGTTCCCATTTCATCCATATCACCTTAGTGTTGATAGAGGCAGTTGGAACAATTCAGAGGTCCAATAGCATGGCTTTCCCAAAACTGTCATCCTCAATTTTAGGCTTAATCCTGAAGGTCTGCCATTTCATTGCATGGGTCACCTGTAGGAAGACAGCATGACTGTTAAGCCTCAACCCCTCAAATTTCCTCCTACATCTCTCTTTCCATAATGCCCAGAAGATGAGCATGGGGACACCCCTTACAAGAGCATGACTAAGGGAATTGCTATTGAAACACCTACATAATCTCATGAATCTGCAAATAGGAGGTTCACCAGGAATCAACTCAAAACCCATAACAGCAGCAAACTTCCTCCAAACAGCATGGGCAAAGGGGCAGTGAACAAAAGTGTGCTTATCAGTTTCCTCATCCATCTCACATAGACTACATTTGCTAACTACATATACCCCCAATACATCTTAATCTCTCATCAGATGTCAAAGCCTTGTTATAAATTTTCCAGGTACAGAGCTGGGCACTAGGAGGCACTACCTGATTCCAAATCTTTTGTGTAATGGCATTGTATCCCCTGGTCCTTCTAATCTGACTCCATGCTGACTTGGTAGTGAAATTCCCAGCATTAGAATGCTCCCACACTCTTTTATCAGCTTTCTTTGTCACTAAGGCACCAGAATTTTTGATTGTTTCTTGCAATTGAGGTGTGAGCCACCCCTCAGTCCTTTCAAAATGCCAGTCACCATCATAGCATAATTCATTCACCTTGGGAAAGAAAGAGGGTAGGCCTTCAATTCTGTACAGCAAGGGACCATTCTCCATCCATGAATCACACCAGAAGTCAGTACATTGCCCATTCCCAAGCAGGACCTTAGAGTTTGTCACCACAAATTCAAACCATGGTTTCAAAATGTTGAATGTCATACCTGCACCCCTGTTACTGGATCTCAGCAAATGGCACCCCTTCAGAAATTTTCCTTTAAAGACCTTAGCCCATAGAGACTGTCCATTCAGTATGCCCCAAACCTGCTTAACTCTAAATGCATCTTGAATTTCTCCAAAACATCTAATACCTAATCCTCCCTTACATTTAGGCTTAGATATATTATCAAGGGAAACCCAATGTCTTCTTCTAGCTTCAAGCTTACTAGACCAGATAAGCCCAGCAATGAGTGAATTCAGCTTCTTTAAGATTCCTTTTTGGATGTTCAAACAAGCAAGCATGTGAATTGGGATGGCACTTAAGACAAATTGCACAAGAGTAATCCTTCCCATTCCAGAGAGTATCTTGGCATACCAGCCTTCAATTCTACATCTAAAGGTCTTTAGGATCTCCTCAAAGTAGCTGAGTTTAACTCTTCCTCTGATAATGGGGCATCCCAAATAAGAGAAAGGGCAACTTCTTATGGGGATCCCCATTAAAGAGGATAAAACATGCCTCCTTGCCCCTGAGATTCTGTTAGAACAATACATGGCACTTTTAGATTTGTTCACTTTTTGACCAGAACAAGATTCATATTTATCAATGAACTTCAAAGTATTCTGCACTGATTTTTTAGTACCCCTCATGAAGAGCAGAGTGTCATCAGCAAAAAGAAGGTGACTAACCACAGTGGTGCCTCTTCCAATATGATAATGGGAAACAAGTTTCTGAAGGTAAATCCACCTTACCCCTCTGCTAAGAACCTCCTGTGCCAGAATGAATAAAGGAGGAGAAAGGGGGTCTCCTTGTCTAAGACCTCTTGAGTTAGAGAAGTACCCATATCTTTGCCCATTTAAACAGATGGAGAAGTGCTGAGTCTTCAACCAGTTTAGGATAATCTGAGTAAACATGTTGGAGAAACCAAAGTGCTACAACACCTGTAACAAAAAATCCCACTCAAGCCTATCATAGGCTTTCATCATGTCCAATTCATTACCAAGTTACCCCCCTCCACTTTCCTGTCCAAGTCACCAACCAATAATTGCCCCAGTGCTACACAATCCCCAATCCCTCTCCCTTGCACAAATCCATGTTGTTCCTCAGAGATTAGGGAAGGGAGCATAGAAGATAATCTTGTAGTGAGAAGCTTAGTGAAGATTTTATAGAGGAAGTTACACAAGCTAATGGATCTGAAATCAGAGAAGGAATCAGGTGCATCATTCTTTGGGATTAGAACTAACAGAATAGAGTTGACAGATTTAGGCATATGTCCTCCCTTCAAAAGAAAATTCACAGCTACCCATATATCTTTCTTGATGGTTTCCCAAGCAAATTGGAAGAATTTACCTGAGAGACCGTCAGGACCAGGGGCACTCTCAATAGCCATAGAGAAAACAACATCCTTTATTTCTTCCATCGAAGCCTCAGCAATCAACCTCTAGTTATCCTCCTGACTCACCAAGTTGGGAATCACATCAAAAACATGCTCCTGTAAAAAATGATTTTCAGATCTATACAAATCAGAATAGAATTCCTCAGCAACCTCAGCAATGATCTGGTCACCTTGCACCCAATTGCCCTCCTTATTCTTAATTCTAGAAAATTTGTTCCTCATCCTTTTGCTTTTAGCTAAGGCATGATAAAACTTGGTATTTCTTTCCCCTTCTAAAGTCCATTTGAGATTTGATTTTTGTTTCCAGTAAATTTCTTCCCTCCTGAGCCAATTATCCAGATCTCTCTTACAATTGTCGAGCTCTAGGGATTTAGCAGCACTATAATTCTGGTCCAGTTCCATCTCAGTATTCTTGATTTTCTGTTCTTGGTTTTTGATGTTTGCAAAAAGGTCTCCAAAAACTTCCTTATTCCACAACTCAATATGGGCTTTTAAATATTTCAACTTGATAAACAAATTAGCCATAGGATTATCAGAGTAAAAACCACCCCATTTCTCCTCAATAAGAGCACTGAAACCTTCATGATCACACCACATATCTTGGAATCGAAAGTATGAGACTCTTCTTTGATCTGGACTGTCTTTGATTTGTAGAAATAAAGGACTGTGATCAGAAGCACCTCTTGCCTAATGAACAACCTCCATGCTGTCAAACCTCATATTCCAGCTCACATTGATCAAAGCTCTATCAATTCTTTGCATCATTCTGACATGACCCTGCCTATTGTCACACCATGTGTACTTGTTCCCACTAAAACCAGCATCCATCAGGCCTCTCTGGTCTACAAAGTTTCCAAAATCTTCCATAGATACCCTTGAAGGAGAAGCACCTCCTTGTCTTTCATCAGAGCTTACAATAGAATTGTAGTCCCCAACCACTAACCATGAAGTGTTAGCAGGGATCTTGAGCTCCAGTAAGTTCGCCCAGAGTGCTCTTCTGACAATATGATTACAGCTTGCATACACCACAGAGATCCAGAAAATAGTCTTCTGCATAAAGGTAATCTCCACAGTTAAAACCTACTCATGAGTAAACATAACCCTTACATTTATTCTATCATCCCACAGTAGCCAAATGTTCCTCTCTGCTAGAGGGTTGAAAAGAAAGTGGTTCAACCCTATACTGCTAGCAAAGAGATTGAGCTTAGTAACCAACAACTTAGGTTCTTGTATAGCCACAAAGCAAATATCATGGATTCTAATAAGCTTCTTTAGTCTCCTCCTTTTGGCAGCCTTTTCTGCTCCCCTCATATTCCATGAAAAGAGATTTATCATGAGGATGAAGAATGGTACCCCCCCCCACTGGAATTTACTCCAGTGGATTCATCATCTATATTGAGAGAGCTGTCAATGGCTGCAGAATCATCTAGTGTACGTTTCTGGCTCTTAATTGAGTCCTCACACAAATCAAGCCCATCTGATCATCAATAATGCCTCCACATTCTCCCCTTGTACCATAATCATGTTCCAGTAAGAAAGAAGAATTTAGAGAAGGCCAATAAAGGGCATGACACTCACCAAGTTGTTCTTTAGGAGCCTCATTCCCTACCAAGTCATGTGTATTTTCTCTAGAGGATAAAACCTCCCCACAATTCTCAAGTTCAGCATAGTCCTCTACAAAATTATGATCAACTGCACTTACAATAGCAACAGGAGAGGGAGGAAGGCATTCCTCCAAGCTATTCCCCTCAATGCTAGGGGAGTGCAGGGGTACCTGAGTCACTGAGGCACATTCCAAATCTTCCTTATCTTTATGTGGGTCTGTAGCATCTTGTATAGATTCTGTTCCAAGAGGATCTTTAAGGTTCTCTGCCACTTCATTTTGTCCCTCTGAAGCTTGTTGTTTACCTTTATCAAGAGCTGATGTAGAGCAGTAGGTCTCCTGATTTTCTTTTCTGTCAGTAGCATTTTGATTATTTAAGTTGGCAGGGGCTTTTGCCACTTCCTGTTCCCGCTGGGTGTGGTGGTCCATTTCCTTCCTTTGATTCAGCCCTACAGGATCTGTGGTATCCTGCCATATATCAAAGCTATTTACAGTAACTGGTCCTTGAATCCCTATTTTTTGTCTGTATTCCTGTTTAGGTTTTTCCTTCAGTACATCAACAACAATTGTTTTCCCTTTCCTGTTCAGACGTAACCATCCCCTCTTCCTTCTTCTTTTTTCGGCATAAGGAGTCATCATGACCCTGCTTGAGGCAAGCAAGGTAGTATTTGAATTCCTTCTCATATACTATCTTCTGCCATCTAGCACTCATATCGCCCATATCAAGCCAGAATCGTTTGGGATTGCTCACCAAGAGATTCATCTCCACACAGGCCCTAGCAACCCCATGTCTAGAGAGATTCAAAGTGGCATTGTCGATAACCAAAATTCTACCAAT